CAGGTTTCTGTGATGGCGATACCCGGAAGCTAGGACGATTTTCATAAAGTATGAAATATTCAAGTATTCATTTCAGGATTCTCTCGGTTACCTCCAAGTGGCGGTCACCTACGACCAAAGCACATCCCGTGTGATCGTCCGAGTTATCGCAGCTCGAGGCTTGAAGATGCGTGACCAAACTCGACGACTGGCTCCAAACCCATTCGTCAAAATCTACCTTTTACCCGGCAGAAAGTAAGTAATGATGCTTTGTACACTTACTTTTTTGGTTATTGGTCATACCTTGCGATATGACCTCCAATGAAAAATATTTCAATCTTAGCACTTAGATCCGGAAAGTGTTCTTCATGCATATTTGACCCTCCTATTTTGACTACAGCTTGAGAGTTACGCGCTGTAACACTATACGAAGGCGGCTTCCTATTGTCGCGCCTTCCTGAGACCAACAGTTCATACTATTCGTCTCATACTCCTACCCCTTTTGCGCACCATCACGCACCAGAAATCTAAGGCTGAATCATTGACGTTATCGTCACTCTCCAAATCTCCTTCTCATTTGCTTTCGGCTATTTCCCGCAGAATGTCTCCATTCAGTTGGTAATTGCATGCTCATCTTGTACCTTTACCTTTAAAAGCTAACGTAATCACTAACAGCGTGTGAATTCCTCGGAAGTTAGCTTTCTGGGGAGCACATAGACTAAAAATTGCTCTCGTCATTACACCATGGTAACTGTTATTGAAATTTAATGAACGATCTTTGAGAAACATGATATGGAAGTCTTTTGGGAAGTAATAGGCTTTCAAAGGTTCTCCCTTTCTTCAAAATATTGCGGGACAACGACCTGTTGCGAACATGGTTCATAACAGATGTAGCAACCAGAGGGTGGAAGCGCCTCAACAGATTGAGGATTTTGTGGTACAGTGGTGCCATGAACGTGAGCTCAAGTTCCAGTTTCATCTGAGGCAATATATTTGAGCCATAACTCAGCGCCTTTGCAGTACAGAGTAGAGTGTTAGCAGCGTCCAGATTTAGCCTAATGGAAGCTTGGTAGTTTTTGCTATGACTTCACATTGCAGGTGTTATAAACAGTAATTTGATTACCTCATGCCTGCAGAAAATATTACCATTCAGGGTGTCCAATAAACGACGAACGCGGTTTGTTCCATGCTCGACAAATCCCGAATGGAATCAGATCGTTGAATGGCAGGTGTCACCGATGGCTCTCACGTCGCTGTTCTTGGAGTTTTCAGTCTGGGACTATGACCGTCTCTCTGAAAACAACGCTCTCGGTCAGGTCATCGTCAGTCTTGCCGGTCAGTTCTTTTTTTATTGATTGCCGTTTTCGCCTTTACGAATCAACTCGCGGGAAACGCGGCTCCGTCTAATGGTCACCAGGCTGTTGCCAAAGTCCAACAAGGAAGAGGACGCCGTGGGTTCGCTATGGTGGTGAAGGGTGTGCTTCTTTGCACTTTTCAACATAACGAACAAGCGATTATGCACGGCGCATCCCAGAGCAAAACTTGTTCCATGATGCAAAATTCGGTCTATTAATTGTAAGAAAAAGAGAGCAAAAAAGAGACCACACGATGACGCATTGACTTTTCCTATGTTCGAATATTTGGGGATAGAAATCAAAAAACAAAAAATAAAAAAATTTCAAGAATGGGATTCAGTACCTGTTATAGGGAGAGAGCTCCCAGCTTTTGTAACTGTTTTTCACAAAACCGCTTCTGATGTAACTATTTGAAGCCTGAAAATTCCATTTTTAGAATAATAACTTCAAAAATTCAAGGTGAAAATAGAGGAACCAACGGGGCTATTTTTGAGCCGCTCAATCTTGAAATCAATCTCGGTATTCATTGGAAAACCGTAGTCCCGTAGTTCCTCATGAATGTTGAGGAATTGCCAAAAGTTGAACGGTAGAATGTTATGACAGTTCAAATCCTGAAAACTCGCATGTTGTCAAAAACTGGACCGCAAAGCACCCAAAATGGACCAAAGAGACCACTTTCTGACCCGATTTAACTGATATAAGTACTCCTCAGAAAGCATTTCTCAGTTTTGCATACATGGCAAAGAATTGCGAAAGCTGATCAATAGAGCTTACAACAGTTCAAAGCCTTCTAATCTCGCATGTGCACGAAAGCGGAGCAGCGGAACGGTTTTTTGAAGGAATGAATATGCACGAAAATTCGAAGGACATTTCGGAGAAGGAACGATTTGGAGTTTTCAAGTTCCGTGACCACTTTTCACAGTTTCATAATTGAAGAAACTACGACTTCCGAAGGAAGAAGTGCGCTGTCCTATAAAATCTAAATTCTCTACTTCATGAGAAAATGAATTTCAATGATACTGTAAAGTCATGGCAGTTTTCTGAATCCATCAGTCCTAGAGACTACATCTATCTAAAATTTGAAAAATTTAAGTCTGAAGAGAAAATACAGCAAGGATTTGGAAGGACTGTGTCGATCCCTTCCCAGTAGCATAAGAGAAGAATTGTGCGGGTCGGTCGACGGACTACTTGAACTCAGCCCTTTAAACCGCCTCTGCGCTCTCTCGCGGGTCCCTCTCCTCTCCAAGGCTTAGTCCTAGGGCATTCACCTTCTCTAATCGTCTGTGCTCTAGCCATCGCGGCAGGACCATTGAGGAAAAATCAAGTAGTCCGTAAACCGTGCGGGCCAGTGCAATGCACGCGGCGCAGCCGCGTACAGTTCGCATTGGCGCATTTCTACACACACCATGACTGTAATAGAGGGAGGGGGTAGCTTAATCGAGACTATCTAAGGAGAAGAGATCGTAAAAACTTCAAAATTGGACCAACGGTGCAGTTGACCCTGCTTGGAAACGAGAAACGATCGAGAAACTTGGAAAGCGACAGCGCGTGCAAGTGAACCGTCATTTCCATGCGTATTTTCAAGCAGGAAACTTGCTATGAATTTTACGATGCACTACTCCCACTTCTTTTCATACTTTTTTCCATTTCAGACCACAATCTCCTATCGGGCCAGCCCTGTTGGCTAGCCTTGCAACCGTCGGATGCTCGTCCAACTGTTCAACAACTCAACGCTCCACTCGATACCCAACGTACGCATGTCTATCACTATAATCCAGGTACATTTGCTGAAATTCCTGCTTAAAACCTAAACTTTTTGACGCATTCGATGCTATCCGATGCCATATACGTTCGGTTCTGCAAATTTTACATTCACGGCTGAGGGACATAAAGAGCAGTTAGCTTCAAAGTGAATACTATCATTTCAATTACTCATTGGTCCACGAAAAACTTACTGACCAGGAAAACCTTTCAGGTCATTCCTCCTTTTTTTAACACTTTTGCATTCTGTAGAGACAGGTGCATGCAA